ATGGGTGTGGTCATGTTCATCTCTTTGCTTGGATGAATGTGACGGGTGAGGATGGAACGCTGTTATTTGAATTTTCACAAAAGGACTTTCATTGAATGAATAACACTGCATTTAGCATTAAATTGATTTTTTTAGGTAAATCTTGTGTCATTAAACATTATTTGATACCAGTGCTTCATACTTGGAGAATTTGAACTGTACATCATCTTGTTAACCACAGTGTTGCATTTAGTTTTTACAGTATTCCTCCATTGCTTCTGCATATTACATTAAACAATACTCAAGTTGACATTTGCATTAACAGTCTTTACTACACTGGTATCACTACAGAAAACACACCTTCCAAAAGCACCAAAATCAAACACACGCTTACTACATCAGTCCACACACACACATACACACACATCTGCCTTCATTCGAAGTCAGAAAAATTAGTTTTTTTATTAAAAATTGTCATTATTTTTATTATTATGATTTAGAAAGAAAATTTTCGAAATTTACAAAAAATAAATAAAACTGGAATCATCACATTAGATCCTGACCGATATATCAATGTGATGATATTGGCCTATTGCAGACATATCTGTATTGTGTTGGTATCAGCATATATGTATGCATGCATAAAAAAGTGTAATCCAGCAGAGTGCACTGCCATTTACAATACTGTAACAAACGGCACACGGTAAGAGAGAAACAGCTCTCAGCAATGTCAACTAGAATTGGTCAAACATAAACCATATCAGTTGCCATATTGGTAATTTTTCCCCTCTAAAATCAGTGTCGGTACCCCTCTCAAAAATCCCATATTGGGATATCTGCCTCAAATTGGAGTATTCTCTGGGTCTAAGAGAGAATATACACTTACCATTCATAAAATATATAGATGTCATATATGCAATACAATATATAACAATGGCACATAACACAAGATAACTATTTATACTTATTTGGACATATTGTTGTCTCACACAGTTTCAAACAATTTTAGGTCCTTATGGTGAAAGTGTGCTCCATTACGGAAATAACTCTATCTGCTGGGAGGTGTCTGGACACCCTGACCAGCTTCCATTCCCATGGTTCACCACATGGCCAACAATAGTGGCTTGAATTTCATTTTAAACGTATTTGCCTCGTTACTCGTATGTCCTCTCCCCCTCTCTATCTCTCACACCTTCCTGAGATTGCCTGTTGTAGAACTACAGCTGCAGCAGAAAGAGATCTCGTTGTGAGAATATCAGACCCTTATGTTGAATGCAACACTGCTGTTGTCATTTGGTGTTGATGTTCTTTGGGGCAGGTCAGCATTGTAGGATTACTTGTAAGTGTTGGTGTGCTGAGAGTTGAACCTTTTCAGTTAATGATTAGTCATTGTTGTGTTTTCCTAAAGACACAATGATAACTGTGTCAAGAAATGTGATGCATTGTGTTATGTGTTTGGCAAACGGCACTTTAGGAGTTGTGAAGTAAGAGTGTCGTGAATGTTTGAGAATAGGCCTTTTTTACAGCGGACATTTTGAGTTGTTTTAGTAGGAAAGGCTGTTACTTAATAACGTGTTATTAATAACATTAAAATGAATCTGCTTTATTTAACAGTAAGCCAGCATGCACAACACTAGGACTGTGAAACTGAAGCCGCTAAATGGAATTCAGCCATTGTTTAAATTTATACCTGTGCTTTTCCTACTGTGACATGAACAAATGTCTTCTGTATAAAAGGTCTGATGTTCTTATATGTAGAAAAATGTGTGTGAGCAAACTTCCACCATTTGTAAACCAATGTTTTTAAATTATTTTTTATTTTTCTTGAACAGTTTGTGGTGAAGAATGTAAAGACTTCTCATGTTCTGTATGTTTTCTTTAATAAACTTTTATAACTCATTTCACTACGTACCATTCATCCTTTCTTGATAAAGCTCAACCTTGAACAAATCCTTAATTTAATAACTGCAACAGTACAAGATGCAAAGTTGGACCTGAGACTGTAACAAAAACATCTCCTAAATTCAGATTAATAATTTTAAAATGTTCTTTTGCACTTTCTATCCCACATGATAAGTATGATATAGACTCACCATTTCATGCACCTGTCAAATCTAATGCAATCCAATACAGTATCCCTGTAATATATTCTATCTTACAATGCTCAGTGTATTGACACTGTCGGAGAGATGGTGATGCAGCTGTGTATATCTCAATATAATGTGAATCAAAAACAACATACTCACTACAACCACTGGATTACTGGACACCAATTAAAAAACCCAATAATGTTGTATTTAGAAAAGGTTGTTCTAATATCGAAATAATCAATATAATTATTATATCATTAATATCTCAACTTTTAAGGGCCTGTTTGTCATAAAGACACACTGAAAACATTATTAATTTGTCCCTTTCAGTTTGACTTATTTCTCCAATGTTGATAATAGAGGTTCAATTATACAAGTGGTATTCCAAGTGTTTGCTTGAGTAAAAGTTCAGATTTATCAAGAAGAAGCTTCCGTTTTATAGTGTTCAAGCAGAATGGCTCACAGTGATATATTATTATATGTGTTTTATGGTTTTGGATTATTATTATCAATGATGCACCAATACACCTCATTTTAATCTTGTAGCTGGTCGAGATAAATTTAACCAATTTGTTGTGCTCTTACTCATTCAATAATTGCATAAAATATTCTAAGTAACCACTAAATATATTATTAATTCAATGTGGTTGAGGGAATATTTCCCTATGGGGTAGAAATATAAAGCAGCATAAAATGGGAATAGCCTGCTTAAAGAAAGTTAAAAAAAAAAGTACCCCATATTGATCTTCGGCTTAAAAAAAAACACATTTGTTTTTTTTTAAAAGCAAAGCTTTTACAGTGAATCACACTGATATTGATAATAATAATAATAATAATAATAATAATAATACATTTTAATAATAATGCC